TGTAGAATGACCTGTAGAATGACCTGTAGAATGACCTGTAGAATGACCTGTAGGATGACCTGTAGAATGACCTGTAATATATGTATAATAGAATATTTAGATATAAAAAAAAATTCCACAAATCAGATGGAGATCTTTGGACACTTGCAGGAGTAGTTGCCATTGAAACCATGGGAGGACCAACTATTCCATGGAAACCTGGACGTAAGGATAAACCAGAATCAGCAGCACCACCGAATGGACGTTTACCCGATGCAGAGAAAGGAGCAGACCATATCCGACAAGTATTTGGTCGAATGGGATTCAACGATCGGTAAAATTTACTATAAAATTTAACATTTACAATAAAAGCTTTAAAATAGAATTTAATGATAAACATAATTAAATTATGAAATTAATTTATGATTATCGTTATTTTTAGAGAAATGGTAGCGTTAATTGGAGCTCACTGCCTTGGACGTTGCCATGGTATAATCAAAAATAATTAAAAATGATAAAATATGTATATTTATGTAATTTATGTAAATGGTATTAAAAAATGAAATGTAAATAGGTGATCGTTCGGGATACCAAGGCCCATGGACTTTTACACCTACACGATTCAACAACCAATTGTACGTGGTTTTAAATTATAATTAAAATTATCGATAAGTACATATTTATTTTTATTTACCAAAAAAAAAATTTAATCAAATAGTTTCGTTATGTTGACAAAACAAGAGTGGAGCGAGAAAAAGTTAGAGAATGGACTGCTCCAATACAAAGATAAAAATGATAGAATTATGATGCTTCCTGCGGATATGGCGTTTCTCTGGGATCCGGGATTTAAAGAAATTGTCGATATTTATGCGAAAGATAAACAAACATTCTTTGACGATTTTGCAGCAGCTTTTGGAAAATTGATAGATCTCGGAGTTAATCGTGAGGATGAAGATGCAAAGTTGTAAATATCGATCGATCGATGCTATATCGTCGAGTTTATTTTATTTATTTTTTTTTTTACTATGATTTACTACAAACGAAAAAAAATGGAAATTATTTGCATATATTATATATTATGTTTATTATATATATATTTCATGTATCTGTTTTGACCTCATTATATTATTAAATCTAAGAATTTTGGCAACTCAAAACGTGCGAGAACTTTCATTGAATATCATGTATAGTTACTTTTGGAAATCGAAGAGCATACCGATAATAAATTAAATAATAAATTAAATAGTAACTCAAGCAGTGATTCAAGCAGCCATTCAAGGCATATATGTTAATTAAGTTATTTCTTGGAGCAATTATTCAAATACAATTCAAGCGTAATTCAGGCAATAGTAGCTTTTGCTTTACGAAGTTTCTTTTTTCGTTCACTTTTTTTCTTTTCCTTCTTTTTCATGGAATCCATGTGAACTTTAAGGATATTACTATATGCGGTGTAAAATTTGTCAGAATCTGACGGATTAACCTTATAAAATAAAAAAAAGTGATATTGGTTTATATAAAAAATTTTAAATCGTAAATGTCAAAAAGCTTTAAAGTAATAATTAATTTACCACCGTTTTAATCTTATTCTTCCCACAAGTGGCACGAATCACCAATGGATATTCCTTAGTTTCAACCTTTTTGTCTGAATCTTTATTTTTTAATTCTTTTGCAGCTTCAGCGTTACGTAACTTCTTTGGCAGCCAAGTATCTAGATATTTAAAAGTTGTATTTTATATTTTATTTAAATATTTAAAAGAATTAAGAAAAAATTTAAAAATATTTACGTCTTTTCATGGTTAGAAGGATTTTTTTTGTAGTTGGTTTTACATTTTCAAAAAGTCGAGTAAGTTGAGTAAGGAACTTTATTATTATAAAGCATCAATGGTTTTTTCATAAGAACGAACATAATATCAAAACGTTGAAATAATTATTCTATTAATTATTTATTCTATTCAACGTTAAATTTCACTACATAAGTTTATTTCTCATACCGCATCGTTATCTAACACGCTATCTAACATTCTCAAGGTTAAAAAATTTTTTTAATCCAAATTTGTCATTCAATCCAAATTTATCATTCAATGATAATCTCGAAGCCAATCATATTGAATCAAATTGACACTGATTGGCACTAATTACGGGGATTAAAAATCATTAGTAACGTTAAAGGGTGACAAAGGATGATAAAGGATGGATAAAGGATGGATAAAGGATGATAAAGGATGGATAAAGGATGATGAAGGATGATAAAGGATGATAGAGAATGATAGAGGATGATAGAGGATGATAAAGAATGATACTTTAAATAAATGCCTTATCATTATATATATAAGTCGCTTTCAGATTATGATCTTGACTATACATACCGAAATAGTTTTTGCGGCATGTATATAATCTTGGCTTTGGTCTAAATTATCTTACTATCAATTCATTTATCAGTTCATTTTATAGATTCATTCTGTGTGAATTCATTTTGTATACAATAATGGCAACGGTCTAAATACCCCTGTAGAATGACCTGCAGAATGACCTGCAGAATGACCTGTAGAATGACCTGTAGAATGACCTGTAGAATGACCTGTAGAATGACCTGTAGGATGACCTGTAGAATGACCTGTAAAATAATAATAACCCGTGAAATGACTGAAATGACTGAAATGACTGAATATTATATCCATATCGATATCATGTCGGTATCTAATCGATATCATATCAAAATCGGCATAGTACGTAGCATAGTATAGCATAGTAGTACAAGAATATTACCGTTGACCCACTGCATACACTATGTATGTAGTGCTAGTTATGTGGTAGTGGTAGGTTATTATTTTTAGCTTCCAAGTATGTAATATGATTTTTGCACCATTACCGTTATGATTACCGTTACGATTATAACCGTTTATTATGAAAAATGTTCTACAACGGACAGGTGAACGTAATACGGAGGAAGTTTAGACCGAGATTTACGTTATTAATAATCCTTTAAAGTATGGCTTGGAATATTTTTAAATCTATATTGATAAAAATTGATAATTTCATCTTCCTGTGTGATCGGGTCCCATGACAGGTAATAATATCTTTAATTATTTTTATTCACGCTATTGAAATGTGATTTTATTCAATTTTTTTAGTTTCCATTCTCGTAATAGTAATAGCTTTTGATTTAGTTTTTATTTAAAAATGTTAATAATATATTAATCTATTTATCTGTTATTGATATCGATAATTAATATCTATATATTTTAATAATGCACATACTTTTTTGCTTACGTATGTGCTTGGGTAGAATATTATCGATAAGTTAAATTTTTTTTTGTTCCGTCGATTATCAATGAACATCGTTACGTATTTAAAAAATTTTTTTTTCACTATTATTAAAGATTGTTGCATATAAATGCGAATTTGGGCCATTATTTAGTTCATCAGAATGTCAAACGTTGCATAATTATCGTGAAAAGCTGCAGGACTTATAAGTCGTGTCAATTTGTCAATTTTTTTTTTTTTTAAAGTTCAATTTTCTACATTATCTTTTTTCTACGTACATTATTTTCAAGGTTATAAAAAACTTGAAATTATCGATTATCGTTTATTTATCGTTGTTCATATATTTTTTCATTATATTATTCGTAATCATATTAAGCTGTGCTCCCAAATACCAAAACATTCATTAATACAGGTTGACTTACTTTTTTATAGCATTCTCCTCGTGTAATCGTGCTCCTTCTAACGCATAGAATAACTCTCGCATTAGGTGAAAAAAAAAAATATATATATGTTTTTTTTAACTTTCTAGTTTTTTATTTGCCTTATACGTATTTGTTTTTTTTTTTTTTTTTTTTTTTTTTTTTTCCTTTTTCTTTTTTCTATAGGTTGTTTATAGTTTCATAGTTTTATCAATTCTGGAATAAAAAATTAGATATAAAAAAAAAACAAATATTATAATAGTATAGAACGGCTCTTTTGCCATTTCTTTCTTTTCAACTCCTCCCCTTTTTTAGAATCAAAAAACTTTCTTACATAGTTAATCAAAAACCGGTTTAAGATCCTTTTGTCCATATTCTTTAATTAAATAATGTCTACCGGTGCGTCTACACCGTCCGTGGAAATATCACCAAACTCTTCAGTAACGTCAATAGAAAATTCTGAGAGGGAAGAACCGCGACGGTGTAATAACAATAATGATAGTCCAAGTGGAATTCCTGTTACTGAGCCCAGTGAGTCCAGTGAACCCAGTGAACCGAGTGAAGGTACAACTGACCATTCACAACAGCCACAACAATTTCAGTCTCAGTCACCACCACAGCCACTTGTAAAAGAACAACCGGTCGACCAACAACAACGTTCGTCTCCTCCAAAAAAATCTTCTCATGCTAAAAAGTTAGTAGATAAGTTTGCCACATTTTCCCCGATGAGGAATAAAGGATCCGATCGAAAATTAATAGTAGAAACTGCTTATAGCAACTATAACGTAAAGAAAGAGGTAGAATATTTATTGAATATTTTTTTTTTGAAGTTTTTTTTCGGCGTTATTATATATAAATCATATATAATGTACAATATATATATATTATATTTTCAAAGATTCATTTTTTAGATTAGAATTTATTTTTTAAATTTATTAAATATATATATATATATATATATATCTTCTTATTTCCTATATTTAACCCTATATTTAACCCTATTACTATACCTATAGTCTGACCAACGGCCGAAACCGGTCGACCAGAAAACTCAAAAGAAGAAAAAGCGTATCACCGAAGGTGGGCGATTTTACATTTTCTGGTGACAATCTTGGGTTTTTATTTTATGCGTTATATAATACCTTCAGATGTATGTTTTTCCTTAACTAAATTTTTCATGCAATCTTATCATTAGGGATGTCAAAAGCAGATATATTTGCTGCAAGTGTGGCTAGTGCTGTTGATGCTGCTGATGGTATGTCTGATTTTTTTGTTTCTTATATCCTTGCATATATATATTATTATATTTTATATTATTATATTTTATATTATATTTTATTTTATGTTTCATATTTACATTATTCACATTATTCACATTATTTACATCATTATTTTTTTTTTCAAAAAAGGCGCTGATGAAGAGGAAGTATATTTTACTTATAGTACTAGTAATTCTCGTACTCCCTCTTTGACCAGTCTAAATGGCATGGCTGCTCCCTTATCAAATCCAAATATCTTTCAAGACAATCATAACCTTGCCCAACAATTCCAAATCCCACCTAGTGTATATCATTTTTCTACTCCTACCCCTTATCGTACATATAACACTTTTCCTCATCGTTCTCATTTTCCTACTGGATTTTATAATAACACTCCGGCTCCGGAATCTGTTGATATAATTCCTAATCATTTAAAAAATGATTCCCCAAATGATAAAAGTAGTAATAAGCCAACCGGTGTAATGCGTTCTTCATTACCCGATATGTCTCAATATGTAAAAGGTTTATCAAATTATGATACTTCTAATTACCTATATAATTATAATAATAATTGGTATGTTAATGATGAACGATTACCACTATTTCATCAAAAAATTCGTCCTCCAAATTATGAAACTCGTCAGAGGTATTTATATCTTATTTTATTATTATTATTATTATCATTTTTGATTTGTTTTATTATTATTATTATTATCATTTTTGATTTGTTTTATTATTATTATTATTATTATCATTTTTGATTTGTTTTATTATTATTACTATCGTTATTATTATCATTTTTTATTTTTTATTATTATTACTATCGTTATTATCATTTTTTATTATTTATCATTTTTTTATTTTTTCAATTCAACATACTTAATATACTTGAACATAATTAACACACTCAACACATTTAACTTTTGTTTAGACAATCGTGTGCTCCAACGATATCTACTCTGACCGTAATAATCATCTTTCTTCTGGCTTCATCTTATTTGTTATACCTTGCATCAACATGTCCTTTATCAGACGTAACAATCAAAGACATAACGAATGTTCTTACTGCTGATAAAGAATTAATGTTTGATATTCAAGTAAAAGGTCGTAATTTCGGTTTATTGGATGTAGAAATTATCGATACTGATCTTAACGTATTTGCCACTCCTATTCCTACTGGAATTCCTGGTGGTCCTGGAAGTCATTGGGATGATGATATTATGACAAATCCTTTATCTATTCATGAATCGGCTCCTAGTGAATTTTTGGGTACTATACTGGCTTTGGATGAACCTTTGATCTTTCCTTCAGGAATTAATCGTACTGGTGTGATCAGTACTCCTACTGGTCAGGTTAGATTGAAAAATCCTGGTGGTGATGATAAAGCAAGTCAAGAGCGATGGTATGTCTTAATATATTATTTGTTATAATATTTATAATATTTATTGTTATATTTATTGTTATAATATTTATTATGATATTTAATATTTATTGTTATAATATTTTATTATGATATTTAATATTTATGATATTTATAATATTTATAATATTTATTATTTCTTTTTAATAGGTCTTATCTTTTACGGCATCAATTTGATTTAACCGTTCGTGGGGTTCTAAAGTATACATTACCATTTTCAAAGAACTATGTTGCTAGTGTATGCTTTTCTCAAAGAGTTGATGGTACTGAAGATTCTTTAGATAAAGATGGTAAAAGTAGGATAATAAGGGGCTTGAATACAAATTTGGTATCAGGTCAATGTGGTGATTGGGATAAAGAACAAGAAAATAAAATTTTTATGTCATTAATATAAACATTAGACTTTTTTTCGGGTTTATTTATGAACTTTTTTTTTTTCTTCATTTATGCAATTACTTGTATTATCCTTTGCAAAGTTGTACAGCATTTTTTTCATTTGTTTTTTTTTTCATTTGATTTGTTTTTTTTTCCATTTGTTTTTTTTCATTTGGTTTGTTTTTTTTTTTCTTTTTTTTGTTTTTGCAAGGGTTTCTTGTTTTTTTTAACATTCATGGAGTTTTTTTTTTTTTTTTTTTTGATACAGTAACTAGACAATTTAAAAATAATGCATTTGAAAATAATGCAATTGTTGATTTTTTAAAAAAAATACAGTAAAATTACTGTTATCTGATTATATCGATAACGATAAGATTTTTTTAAGCTGATTATAGAATAAGATACATACAATAGTTTATATACAATAGTTATATAATAGTTATATAATAGTTAGTTGATTCTCTTTTTTTACTTAGAGAGGTTAACTTATACGTATAAACGCATAAATGTTTAGATTTTATATATATAAAGTATATATATACTTGAAATAAACTTGAAATAAACTAAGATTTAGAATGTGACCAATTAAATTTTAATTATCAGTTATGCAGGATATAAAGTTTATTGTTATAAAGTTACATTTTTGTGTCGGAATAGATCGAAATTTACTATATCAGTCAGTATCGGTATTTATAATGTTACGTAAAATAGATTAGATGTATCTGGTATTTAAAAAAAAAATGCTTTGTACGTACTTTTTTTTTATTTATTTACAATACATAACAAAAGTATATTTGTGTTGCAGGGCCTTGATTACGTAGTCAATATTATATATTATTACGGGATAAACTGTTCTGATAAAATGACAAGCATTTAGATTAACTTTTACAAAGTATATAAAAATCAATGATGTTGGCCGTTAAATGACAACTAAAGGTTGAAGCATCATTCTATCCTTTCCCAGTGGTGGTTGTGCGGCTATTTCCTCTAATAGGTTTCAAAAAAAGTTTCAAAATATTTTAAGAGTTTTAATTAGAAATTATATATAAATTATATATAAATTATATATAAATTATATACGTATAAATTAATTAATAGCAACTAACCCCAAGAAACCATCCTTCCTGAAGCATTTCCACTCATGATTAGATTAAGATTTGGGTGAAAAGCATTAACCGCTACCAAAAGAATGCAAAGAATGCAAAAGAATGCAAAAGAATGCAAAAGAATGCGAAAGAATGAATTTAAGCAATAATTCAAACAATAATCCAAAAATTATACTAATCATTTATAGTCATTATTCCTTACCTGGTATAGCCGTAAGTCTTTCATCACGCAAGCTACAAATTAAATTACCGGTTATTCCAGACATTATGTCTGCAGCTCTTCCCATGTTTCCAATGATAAAATGTGGATGCACATTTTGGTTCGGATTCCAAATTGCGCGAAACATAGTAACCCACCTTTAATAACGTTAATAACGCAATTTAATAAAACAAAATATATATCTAATACATGTAAAGAAATCTATAAAACTTACCTTCCCGTTCTGTTGTTATGAGGAATTTGGTGTCTTGTTGATAAGTTACTTTGCTCGTTAAAATCAAACACTTTCACCGTGTCATCAAAGCTGGATGATACAACTTGATTACCATTTGGACTCCAATAAGCACTGGTAACTGCATTGCTAAACTGAATTTTTTGAATTTCGATTGATTCTTTAGAATCCAATTTACGAATGTCCCAAAGACACATAGTTCTGTCCAAAGATGATGTGACAAGATATTGAGGTTGAATTTTATTGATCGAAATACATCCAATTTTATGATCATGTAATTTATATTCCGTAAATGTTTCTATCGGTTCACGGGTATCTTTTATTCCAAATTTACCATGATTCGTAGATAAATAGATTATCTGACCGTTAGGATCCATATCCATACTGGACAAAAAATAATCATGTCTAGATTCTGAATATACAAAAGCTTCCACAAATTTTGCTTGATTAAAATCAAAGGATCGAATAGATCCATCATATGAACACGTGTAAAGATTATTAGAATTAGTAGGTGAATACATTGTAGATGTTATGGTTTTGGTGTGAGCTTGAAACAAATAGGTTCTTGGTTGATCTTCTTCATCTTCATCTTCGGATTTAATACTTTCTTTAACGTCCCAAAATCCAAGCCATCCAGTTTTATCGCCAGCAGCAACCAGCACTTTCTCCTTAGCAGGATGAATAGCAACACAATAAATTCTCTCTGGAGTAACTTTAACTGATGACCATTTCTCTCCAATGGCAAGCGATCCATAAGCCATTCGAGCAGCTTTAAAACCATCCACTCCTCCCGCAATACAACTATAATCAATATCATCTGAAATACTTTTACGATCTTCACTCAAGCTGGATTTTGTTAAATTTGATAAAATATCAACAAAATCATTGGTATCATCAATAGACGTCATATCTGATCGAATAGAATTTAAATCAAGATCTCCCATCATTCTAACGCGTTTTTCTCCTTCTAGTCTTTTTTCGTCTTGTTCAGCTTTCCTTTTAGCCTCAATTCCATCAGGAGTAAAACCGCGTATACGTAAAGATTGACGTGTAGGTTGAGTTGGTTTTTTATCTTGAAATTGCCTTTTTGGTTTTGGCCTTGGTTTTTGCTTTGGTTTCAGATGAAGTTTTACAGAACGAGCAAGTTCCGGAATGTTTAGTTGTCTAAGAATTTCTTCATTTCGACGAATATTTTCAAGTCGTTGTTTTTCACTTTAAATAAAAAAAACGAATACTTATAGATCACCTTCTTTTTTTTAAAAACGCGACGCGTATTATTTAAAAAAGTTTTACTTACTATTCGTTCAATGTTAAATCTTCGCCCATATTTTTCGTAATTTTTTGTAATATTTTAAAATCACGTAATCACGTCATTAGATACTGCTTCCTATTTATTTAAAAAAAAACTGATGTGATAGATACGTACGATAGTTAAATATGCAGATCATGAGATCGTAGGAAAAAAGTACATATATAAGAACTTGCAGTTTTTCACTTCATATTCTTTGTTATATCGAAACAAAAAAAAAAAAAAAGAGCAATTTGCTATGGAGAAATTTGACAAAGCCAATTATTTTTACTTTATACCACCAGAAGGCAAGGTTTAAAAATACAAATTTACGAAGCATATCTTAAAACTGGGCTTTAGACTTACCTTTTTTGTTCCTGGAACGCTCAAGTTAATCAAAAAGAGTCTCAGAGTTCAGTGGAATATATGGATATACCGGAACTAGAAAACTCTCCGATTAGAACTGAATGGCTAGAATCTAACAACAAATCAGAACTTCTAAATAAATATTATAAAAACTATGTCCAACCAGTTAAAGAAAAGGGCACCGAAAAGGAATTTTGTGCCTCTATTGAAGATCCTGGTAAATAAGTTATTGTTACTAGATGAAACATAACACAGAAATACTTGTCGGAAATTATTGAACTATTTTATTGGGACATACTCCAGTACGGAAACAAAAAATATTTCCAGGTTATCAATTCAGAAATGTGATTGCAAATCAACGAACATGGAACGTAAAATTTCCTCGCGAAAGGTTTCCTCTAGACCATAAAATATACGATCAATTTTTAGATTCATTTAGCATAGGGTCAATCGCTGATGTAAGTTTATTAAAGATAAAACAAATGCTTGAATTTTTTTTTTTTTTCAATAAATCAAATTATATAAGAGAAAGAATTATATATTTGTTATTATTAGTTTAATCCAGAAGATTACGGATTGGTATCATCAGATATGAGTGCTACAAAATCTACAGGTACAAATGATCAAGAAACTCGAATATTACCTGGTATTTATTTTTATTTATTTATTTATTATTATTATTATTATTATATATATATATATATATATATATTTTAATACGTATAATAATATATTTCATTTTTGTTTATTTATTTATTGTGTTATTACGTTTATTGTTATTAATTTTACATTTACGTATGCTCATTACGTTTCAGAAACTACAGATCATCAGTTAAATGGTAGTGAAAGGTCACACGAGAAGAAAAAGGTTGGTATAAAATTTGTTCGATCGTGAGAATTTTGAAGAATATTATGTAGTATGTTAATAGATATATTTTTCAAACATTAATTAGAAGAAAAAACACAAGCATGATTCAGAACATAAAGAAAAGAAACAGAAACATAAACGGGAAAAAGATCATAAAAAAGATAAAGATGGAGAACATAAAAAGAAGAAAAGAAAAAAGGTTTGTATTCATTTACGTCACCGTTCGTTTAACTTCTTTTTTTTGTTATTTATTGGTCGAGAAACGTCTACTGGTACAATTTATAATAATAATTCAGGAGAAAGAGGAACATCAAATGAGTTTCTAGTCTTCTAGCCTTATTTCTGAATAATTCCGAATCACAGCTAACTTGACTTTTCGCGTCATTTTATTGCTTATTTATGAGGGTTTGCGCTTGTAAGACTAGTCATTTCGGGTGATTTTAATTTACTATCATTTTTTTTCTTTTTTTTATTGCAATTTGGGAGGTGGAGAGTCCATTATGGTATGCTTGTGGTTCAATTAATATACATATATATATATTTGTACATACACAAATAATATAATAAATATAGAATATATTGCAATCCATAGGAAAGATTGCATATTAATTTTTTTCACGTTCGTAAAGTTATAAATAAATGTTTAAAGGATAAGAGTAAGATTTAAATCGTTATAATCGCAAAAACGTTAATGAATTTTTAAAATGCATAATAGTAAAAGATATAAAACTATACGTACGAATTTAGATAGCAGTATAAGTGTTGAGGTGATACGACATCAAGATTAAGAAAAAATGATTATTCTCGTATCTTCACATCATTTGTTAATATAAACTTGAAAGATTTAAACCAAACAAAATAAAGCTAACAAAATTTATAGACTGATAAATGGTTCTATGAGATTGAAGATCCAGAATTGATGATGATAATACGTAGAATTAAACTAAAATAAGTTATTGAATCAGATCGAATCAATCAAAATGTATCAATATGCATCGATATATAATTTAAAACACTTTACACACTTTAAACACTTTTACGTAACACTAAATTCATTGTCGATTTTAAGAAACTTTGGATTTTATTAATTTATTAAGATTTTTATTATTTTACGTATTAATAGATTTTATTAGATTTTTATTAACTTTATTAATAAATTTTAATTATACAAATTTATACAATTTTAAACATTTAATAAAATTTCAAAATTAAGAAATCTAAAATTAACTAAAAAATTATCTAAAACTACACGAATTGTTTGGGATACTTAGTTTCGGCTAAAAAAAATTTTTTAGCTTACTTGTCCCAGTCACCGCAGAGAGGTGTATCCCATGACTGGGTTTATAACAACCCGGAGTCGTATCCAATAATGGACGTACGCGTGAATGAATAATAATACTCATTCAGGAAAAACTCATACCTAGAGTTCGGCACGACGAGGGGGTATAAAATAAAAACTAAAAAAATACATGTCGACGTTAATTATAGGCAGTACAGAAAATATTATACAAAAACGGAAAGTTTTGTAAATGTAGAGAAAAAAAAAAACTATTCTAAAAAAATATGTCGTTCCAGCCTTGGGAGCGCGATAAGACTCCGATCCCTCTTCGTCTTACCATTCCGGTTCTACTTGCCGGTCGTAACCTAAGCACAGCCACCATATTACTCCCGCAGCCAAAACTCTACAAAAGAAGAGCAAAACTTTCCGTGTTTTTGTTGGTTAGTAATACTTTCTGTTACCAACTATAGATAACGGAAAAATACATTATATAATTAAAGGAAACGACGATGGTGGGAAAAAAAATCCTTATCGTTATAAATATATATAGAGATCTACTGATCAACGCGTGTGAAAATCAAGATCGGCATTATAATCTACTTTTTTGATCCCTAAATTTTTCATATAATCGTAAATTTAGAATACGTTTTAGATGTATCAAAAAAAGCAGGTGCTGGTGTATCAAAAACTTTGTTTGTTTATAGCGCTTTGCAAAAGGTGTTACCTCGTGATTTTTGTGATAATGATAGTAAGATTCCGAATTGTCTATCACCAAATCAGCGACATCTATATTTATTCGGATTCTAAATTCTCAGAATTTGATTCTCACCTTTTTGCAAATCGCAATAACGCATAACGATAAATTAGCTTAGAATTAAGAGATACGCCAAGATACGCCACTACTTATGATTAAATTGTCATTGTCACTGATGTTAAAATTTGAAATTTCGGTTTGAAAACATAAACCATACTAAAATCACACGTATATCCGTATATAGGGGTCATGTTTCCACGTGACTTTTTTGTGTAAATCAACTAACCGGAATTGCGAAATTTTGTTTAGCCCGAAGAAGTCAAAACGCAAAAAGACGAAAAACGGTAGTCTAACCTGTCTTGAGGCACTAATTAAAAATGTCGGGAACCTATACTTTTCTTTTTATGTCAACACCCAACTAACCCTAGTCCTAACCTTAATTTTAATTAAAACGATTAAAACGTCAAAATCACGTGGGTACATGACTTTAGCCATCCCCCGTATATACTCTTTACTAACAACTCTTAAAAAAAAAAAATCCCTCAAAAATTTTTAAATTTTCATATTAAAATAGGTTCAAATTTCAACGTCAGTCATAACAATGATATAGAACGTATATGCATCACAAAGAAGCAACCTTTGTGTGATCACATACTATCATTCTTCGCTTCACTCTTGACAATTTTACACAGTTGTAGAATATTTAATATAAATGCTTTTTGAAATTAAATTTAGCTATGTAGCTACTTTTTTGATTACTATAATGTAAACAGTCCAGCTAGCTATAACACTAATTTTATTGACCAGATTTGCAAAAAAACTTTAGAATGCTTAATCAAATGGATCAAGTGTCATATAAGAAACTTGCTAATAAAATTATAGGTTGATTTTATTCGTTAATTTTTTTTTTTTCAAATTTTTGCTTAGAATTGCTTATAGTTTAAGGGATAATTTCAAAATCGGAAAATTTCCCATCCCCTCATTATGCTAGCATTCTTCAATTCTTTCTCTTCAGCATCTATTGTATCTATATGATCTATATTTTCACATACAGGAAAGACGAATTTTGGTTTTTCGAAAGCAAGAGCAGGTATTTTTTTCGGCTTTTTACTAATCTCGGCTTCAAATAACTTTATTTAAAAAGAAATTATATAAGTTAGCTCTGAAAGGTTATATATAATCAACAAATTTATGTAAATAAATTACCGAAGTATATGTACGATCTAAAAAATCTTCAAGATTGTAAGATGGTTTATTAAATTTATCTTGGAAAATCTTTGCTAAAGTAGCAACATTTGGAAGATAGTGATTTTGCAAAGTCTTTAAATAAGTATGTAAAAATTAATTAATAAAATCCCATAATATCCATAAAATGAATACTAAATAAATATATTTGTACCTTTAACTCCCATAATGAACTAGCAATAGCGTTGCTCTTCATTGGATCCGGCTCATCAAACATGTATGGATCTTCCGAAATATCATTAATATGCCCTATTATTATTTTAATCAATTTGATAAATCTTCTTTATGAGGAGTTATGATAAGAAATCATATGCTAACATACCTCCGTCTTTAGAATTTATTTCGTATGGCCTGTGTATTAAAACCATGCAACTCGGATGGCGTCTAATGAGATTATAAATTAATGGTATCAATATTACAATACCATGAGGAGGACTTGTAAGTGAGAGACGGGACATCCTCTTTATAAATGATGCGATAAGTTGGACAGGAAGATGACTATAAAATATTTATATTGTGTATTATTAATTTGTCGATAGTATAAATATCCATAATATTTGATACAAACGTGGAAGAAAGGAAAAGATCCACCAAACGAAAAAATCGGGATAGATATTTAACATGCATCAAGTTTCTATCAAATAAATTATATAATTTTCTGTAGAAATCGGGATAATCCCTATAAAAAAAAAGTAAATATAAATATATGCATTAGAGTATAAGCAAATTATAAGTTTTTAATTTAAAAAATCTTACAAGTTATGTTCGTTAATAAGAATAAAGAGGCCGTTGAGAGCTAAAAGACTAATAACACCGCCTAAAAAAAAAATGGTACACTTATGAATTTAAAGCAATTAGATATCCCAAAAATATTTGCATATACTACCAGCATTGTATGCTTCTGTCAGATAGTCCATTAACATTGTAGGCTGTAGCATGTGAGGAATTATTTTCTTATGCATAATCAAGAGAATTTTTTTATATGATTCTTGTTTCATCGGTAATTTAAGTAGAGCTAACCAGCAATCTGAAAACACTCGACGGTGATTGGACAATTGTAATATAGGAGGTATTTTATCTTGACTATCCTTTGCAGTTTCTAATAGTAAATTAGATATATATATTAATTTAGCATGATGTTATGAAAGAAGTTGTAACTTTTGATACTACCAGGAACTGGAGAACCAATCCAAAAGTCTTTGATTTCTGACGCATCAGTTGGCATAGTCCGTAGGTTTTTAAGTATGGAAAAAGTGTTTTCCATCAAATTAATTAAATTAATTTCAAATCTTTCATCTATACGTTTTTTCTTTTGTGTAAAGATATCGATATACATACATATATGTTATACACATATTATATATAACTATAAGAAAAGATCGATCACCAATATATGACGCTAATAATTGAAATTTACCTTCGATATAGGACCAGATCTATCTTTGGGCTTTCCACTATTTGTGGCCAAATTGATTATCTTACTATTGACAATAACAAAGCCGAAAAAATACTGAAATTATCCTTTACTTATGCTTCAAACACGTACATATCAGTGTTTTAGACCTACGCAGCATTCTTTAGGAAATAAAACCTTAAATCATCATATTTATTCCAATATTTTTCAATAAATTCAGTTTGTAAAGGTTCGCTGAAATTATCATTATCAATAAGCCCTTCCACAACACGATAAAAAAAATTATTTGAAAAATGGTAAGTTCCGGAAGAAGTAGTAAGGTGGGTAGATTCTGTTTTAAGAAGCTCTAACAGAGTATTAAGCGAAGAAACCTTTTCACAACAATAATACAGAAATGTAAATGAAAGGAGCAT